TATATATATATATGTATATATATATATATGTATATATATATATGTATATATATATGTATATATATATATATGTATATATATATGTATATATATATGTATATGTATATATATATATGTATATATATATGTATATATGTATATATATATGTATATATGTATATATATATGTATATATGTATTCCAACAGTTATTGGCAAAGTTTTGAATATACTGCAGTCAGAGTCCAGTCCCCCACCCATACACACACTGAGGTAAAATCATTGTCACTCCCTTTTATATCCAATTCCAATTATATACCTTTTTTGACTATAATTCTGTTTTGTGTTTGATTTCTGTTAAGGCAAATGTACTTGGTTAGGATAAGAAAAATACACAATTTTCATATTTTGATGCAATAAACATACTGCTATTTTTAGTACCCCATGTATTGGACCTACACAGCATAATACATCTTTACTTATGACAAGCTTGCAGTAGCCAAAGCAGTTACGGTGAAAAATGTCTCATGTTCTACCTTTCAAACCAATGAATTTTAAAATGTGATATTCTAAAATGACTTCAGAAGAAATGTCTTTCGGATGAATCAGAGATTTATGAAGATAAATATTTGTTATGGTGGTAAAATCTTCTTTGAGGATGATGATAATTTGTCTCCAAGACTGAGTTTTGCTCAAACCAAGATGAATCATCTGAAGCATATTTAGGAAGTGACGATGCTCTGCTTGTCAAGCACCAAAACAAATATTAATCTAAATCTGTTGGTTTGATAGCCTCATGATGCTCCCCTCAGCCAGCAGCCACAGCGGACATCCTCGCGTATTTCTCATTTTCTTGTGAGGGGGAAAAAAGCTCCATCAATTAGGTTCCCGCCAACAACGGAGGCCTCTGTTTCCATAGAAACGTAGTTGGTTGGCTAGCAACCTGTACCACCTCTTCATCCTGCTAATTCCCTCAGACTCTGTGTCCCTTTTATTTAAAAAAATGAACTGAAAATCTTTTTTGTTTAGAGTTATTGTTTGTTCATACTTTTAGACAAGAGTTTATGAAACATCTCTCAGGGAAAATGTGTTTGTTGTTTATTTGTTATAAACAGAAGCAGTAATTTGTATCTTTAGTGCAGGCACAGTTGATGTGTAGGTATGTGCACCTTTGATTAGATGTGTGACTCAGAGATGCTCAAGTGTACTTCTGAGCATTCTGGAGGTGTCTGCAGTGACCGATTCTGTGATTGGATTTGCCCACATGAATATCTGAGTGATATTTATGCTCCCACCACATGCCCTTTTTCTCCAGCACTCAGTCTGTACAGACTTGTTGTTTGACGTGAAACCTCAAAGGGCAGCGATGTTGGAACAAACGTTTAGGTAAATGCAACCAGTTCATTACCAGGGTTCATCCGGTTGGCTGTGATATTGATGGGACTCTACGTGCATACAAACTGGACATTTGGCCTTTTTGTTGTGAAGACCTCTAAACTTTCAACTTATTTTACCTTCTAAAGGAGCTTAGGCTTGATAAATCTGGATTATCTTTTTAAATTACATGAAAGGCCTCCGTTCTGGCTTCATCCAATCATCTTTTGTTACTATGATGGATGTTTTTTGTTGTTTAATTTTTCAAACGAAATAAAAAACTATATATTTTTGACTGATTCCTTATAATCTAACAAAATATTCAATACTGCATTACAATTAGGGTACCTTCAATAATGATTTAAAAGTAAACACTTTATAAAGCCTTTAAAACCATTTAAAAATAATTGTAAAAAGCTGTTCAATGTTCAAGTTTCTTTATTGTCATTCGCATCACATATGGTACATGAGGTGGAATGAAATTGTGTACTCAAGATCCCAGGTACACCCAAAAATAGCAAAAACAAAGTATATTAAATAAATAGTATATAAGGATCTAAGAAACACACTAAGGTATACGCTAAAGGAACTCTAAACAATACACTAAATATTTAATATATATGCTAAACACTAATAATGTAAAAAAAAAAAAAAAGTGCATTAAACAGCAGCCCGAACATGAGTCTGTGGTGAGTAGCTGGGTATGAATACAGCAGCATAATGGCAAGAGATCAGCAGCATGGATAATCAGCAGCACAGATAAGTCACATATAACCAATTAAAGTGGCATTACAGTGAGTTTCATACATTTGTTCATACATTAGATCAGACTCCTTAATTGTCAAGACCAGGTATTTCATTAATTCATTTAAAAGTTATTTTTTTCTAGTTGTCCTGTTTACAACAAGTGGTTTAGAGATAACCAGGTATGTGCCTGTTTTTTTTTTTTTAGGGTATGGCCTGGCCCTTACTGAGTGCATACCTGGTACTTACAGGTTATGTACTTGATATCTACAGTATACTGCCTGTTAATTACCAGGTATTTACTGTTTTTTTTTTTTAACAGGAAACAGCCTGGTAATTAATGGGTATGTACTGGGTACATATTTGATACTTGCAATAATTTTATATGCATAAATATGCACAAATATTTTATACTGAAATCCTATGTTGTAAAAAAAATACATGTAAACGATAAGAATAAAAATACAGATAAATATATTCTTACTATTTAGCAAGACATTATTCAGCAGTGTCCTTTTTTATCTAATTTACTGTAATAGCCAAATATTGTTTTGCCCTAATAAATAGCAATTTATTAGTCATTTACAAGAGTATCTTTAATATAAAGTGGTATCAATAAATTATAAGCCTGTATATCTGTTGTATTGACGCATTGGTTTAAGGTTTGAAGTGTTATTATTTTTGTTATAACAATGATGAGCAACAGATTTATCCCTGTTGGTACTTTTAGTTCAAGCCGTTGAACTTTATATCAACATGGCATAGTTAGTATTAACAATAATTTCCCTGGTGTACCTCAATAAAGTTAATCTCTCTGCTTCTTTGTTCTCAACTTCAGAGCCACCCAGGTACCACTTCGACCGACCCGAGAACTACATCAGCATGTACCACCAGGAAGGAAGCGACACTCTCTACGTAGGCGGCCGGGCGACGATCTATGTGTTGAACTTTACCGACAGGGGGGTCGACAACCAGCAGGTAAATGTGACCTCAGATTGACTTTCATGACCCACATCAAGATAATGCAACCAGGTGCTCACAAACTGTGTTTTTGATCTGCAAAACCGTACTGCATGATCAAAGAGTAGATCTGCTACAAAGGTTAGTCCACTTTAAATTCAGATTTGTATCTAGTCTTGGGAGTAATACATTTGTGTGGATGATCTTTTAGTTCAGAGGGAGGCACCTTTGAGCCTAACGTCGAGCTGTTGTTTCTGTTCAGCTGTTGTGCATAAATCAATAGCTGTTCGTGCAGAGTTAGCAGCTTTTTTCCGGCTCTACCATACTCTGGCATTTCTGTAGAGCATTGCGAGAGGCTTGATGCTGCTCTGTGTGTCTGCCAGCAGGCAGTTGGCTCAGCATGGGACAGAGAGCAAGGGAAGCCTGCCTCTTTTCTACATTTTTTTAATGAGCAGCTTCTCATCTGTAGGTAAACGCCAAAGTTAAATGGATGAATGGAACGGCTGGCCTCATTTAGAAAAATACTTCAGATGTATTTCAGTTCATAAACAGCTTCTGAGTTAAAAAGAGGTGATCAGATTCATCTAATTGTTTGGCTTTGGGTTAGACAGACTGAAGTGTTGCTTAAAATCAGAAGGTTCTGTCTGGCTCTGCTCTCCATTATAATTGAACACTTTGACTCCTAATGAATTGGTTGTGCCTCTTGTTTTTAATTACTGAAGACTTCTTGATTGATTTTGCGCAGCATAACTATCTAATTCCTATCAAACGGGTCAGTGGTTTCGTCACTTAATGACAAATTAAACGGACTGCACTTGAAACCGTAGCGTTTGGCATTTTCTTGTCTTTAATGACCATCACAGCTGTTGGTAGTGTGCAATTTGTGCATTTTCAGTGGTTAAATCTGAATAAGAATGTGTCACAACTCTAGATTGATAGCAAGTTAGCATATTGTTGCTATGAAACTGTATAATGACGTCAGTACTAGTATTTTGCAGTTTGTTTTCTTATACATTTTACCATTTTACGGCAGGTATTTGCAAAGTGATGCTTGTAGCCCACCCAGTATCTCACTGGACTGTGACTGTTGGTGAGAAAATAAGTAATTTTCAGTCTCATCAAATTTGGTGACCAGGGAACCATGCAGCTGCATTTTGAGCAGCTTAACTTTGAAAATAACACTTTATATTTTAAACTGTGTTCTAGGCCGTGCACATTATTTTGTTGCCCACATTATATACTTTAACCCACTTTGTACCCACCTCAGCAGCTTTACTGAAAAGTAAATCTTTTAAAATGAGGCCATTCGGATTAGGATCAGTTATTTTCAACAATAATTCATATTATTTTTTGACCTGGACATGTTTTTTTGTCAGAAGAGAATTCTTATGCATGTGTCAAAATTCAGCTTTTGCATTCCTGAAACAAGTTGGAGATGGCTGCGGTCAAATCTAAATGAGTTTGAGACGTCTGAAATGACTCTGCAACTATTTGGAGTGAAAGTTTGTTGCACAAATCTTTTACATGCACATGCTTGAATTGAATGACAGAACTGTGAGTCTTTGTAAAGTCCTTAAAATGTCACAAGACGTTCTGTAAGAGTCTCTCTCCAAATAAAATTAGCCTATTATTGCTGCTCAATGAGCTACATCAATGGTCACATCAACTGAGGATCATACAGTTTGTTCACAAAAAAATAAAACTTGACATCAGATTGTGGAAATTATTGCATACTTTCCGCTGTACATGCCACACTGCAGTATTAGTCGCATCAGTCCAAATATGTCTAACAAAGTGGAAAAAAACATAAATAAGTCACTTCGCCGTATAAGTTGCATCTATTATGCGTCACTGCTGACAACCCGGAAACATGGGCCGGTGTTGTGCCAAAGATCGATTGGCTGCCAAATGGTGGCCGTGGGGGCGTGCACGGGAGGACTTTAACAAGAGTTTAACAAGATTAACACTTAAACAATTATTTTTTTCTCAACATTATAGCAAAGGTGTGTCTCAGTTGAACTTTTTCTTAATAAATGCACTTTGATGGTCAAAGCAGCTGCATTTCAAAAGTCGATTCGCGGCTGTGGGAGTGCGCAGAGGGAGGACTCGCTGTGCATTTCTTCGAAATTTACCAAGTTAACCACCAAAAAACATTTATTTGTTTGCTCAACATTATAGTAAAGGTGTGTCTCAGTTGATCTTTTCCTTAATAAACGCACTTTGATGGTCAAATCAGCTGCATTTCGCCTGGGCGGCGTAACGAAATGCAGCTGATTTGATGTTTGCTCCAGGAGTTCCAGAAGAAGACGAAGTGAAAGTAAAGACGAAGATGTCTTCAGTGGTAAGCCAAGTGTCTCATTAGTAGCCACTTTTACCTATTAATGAGACACTTGGCTTGCCATACTACTCGAGGATTCTCTAGTGGCTCAAAATGGTATTGTTCAATATTTTCCATGTCAGAATGAATGAAATTGTCAAATCTCAGCCAAAAATTGTTATAAATATGGGGAAAAACATAGTCTCTTTAGTGTATAAGTCACAGGGCTTTGAAATTTATGCAAAAAGGTCTGACTTATGTGGTGAAAAATATGTTACCTATTGTGCATGTAAATATCTAGTGTCCACAAACTAATGGTCAAGGGATTAAAAATAATTTAGGAGTAGCTGTATCCCTGGATGTGACCAGCTCTAAATCTAGTTGCCATCTTGCTGTGAGGCTATCAGGGCAGACAGAGATTTGATGGCCTGCCTGCTGCTGACCCAGAACAGATCCAATAAAAACTGTAGAAATTAGGTCACGCAATATAAAGAAGCTGGACTTGTGACTTGAACTTTTGAAAAGAGAGAAAAAAGCGCAACTCACTGTACGATTATTTTCACATTTAGGCTTTTGAATACACAGCGGGCGACTTAAATAGTTGCTTTAGCCAGGCATGGATTTGCTCTAGGTTCTGAATTGATTGCAGCATAAGGGTTGGATTTTCCCTTGACTTGATGACAGGTGCAAAAACACAAAAGAGTAATGTGTTTCCCTTTGTTCAACTGCTTGAAAAGGTCAACCTCTGTGATGGCTTATTTTTCTTAAACATTTAGGTCACAGTTGGTCAATCTGAGTCACTTATGGTGCAGCATGATTTAGTAGAATATTACAGTATGGCAAGTGGCAACATTAAACACCCAAACAATTGGTAACATGGAGTAAGAAACATTTATTACTGAAAGGTTAGAAAGTCGTTATTGTCTTTGGTAAGATAAACTAAAACCACCAATGTAAAGCCACACCTCAGCAGTTTTGTCAGAAGAAGTGATTCCTTTGCAGCATTTATGCATCTCTGTCTAATTCATGGTGATTATTTAAGAGGCTGTTTCTAAAAAAATATCAAGGTGGGATTGAGAAAACACTGCAACTACAACAACTAACAATCGTTTAAATAAGTATACAGTGAGAAAATGAGTCTCACTGTATGTCTCTTTTAGTAAGCATTGTTTTCTTGAGGCTGGTATGACACTGAAGCAGTTCAGTGTAAAATAACTTGACATAAAATAAACATTCTTCTTCCTTACAGATCCCAGCAGCATCCGATCAGACTGCAATTGATACCTGCAAGGCCAAGGCGGCACCGCTCGAGGTAGAACTCATCCTCACTGTCAGCGTCTTCATCACATCACGTCTGCAAAGCAGCTCAACAGTGCATTTGTCTCAACATCATACTTTATTATCACTGCTATGTTCTGAGCTAAGATTGCTGCTGCTGTGTATTTTTCATATGTTGATCCATTTTCTTTAATCCAATGGTCAAAACACTATGAGAATGTTGAAAATGGTATATAGGCAGAGGAGCTATAATTGCATTAGAGACCACTTTACCCTTAAAACATCTGACCAAAACAATGTGCAGTTCAGTGAGCAGTTAATTACAGTAAATATTTCAAATACCACAGAGAGACAAACATTTGAATATTTACCACAACCTGCACTAATGCTCAGAGCGTTTTAATCCACAGAAATAAAGCTTATTCATGAACATCCATATTCATAGCAGTTACCACAAACAGACAAATGGTAAAAAAAAGATGGAAAATTACCTCAATAGAAATAAATACAGTAGGCCGTTGTTAATTGTAGGGGTTAGGTTCTAAACCCGCCTGTAATTAGTGAAAATCCGTAAAGTAGTGACGTTATATTTATTTTGGTATTTATATATTTATTTTAGCATTTACAGGTGTGTGTGTATATATATATATAAAATAAGATCGATTTTTACGACCGCATACGCGTACTCTGTGTCACACAATAAACTGCGCGGCAACGGACTGTTTGTATGCAACACCGATGTATTAAAGTCCCCTTCTTCATCCCTGGTCTGGTTTAATGGCCTTTTCTTTTGTTTTTTTGTTTTTTTGGGGGAAAGGTACGTGACCTCTTCCTCCTCGTCCGTTGACACCATGACTGAAATTGTGAGAAATGAAAGAATTTGAGAATTAAAATCGGGCCCGGCATGGCTGTGGGAGGGTCTGGAGATTTCCCAGTGGGCCGGTATGTGTGGACTGCAGGGCCAGCGCTCCCTGTTTTTTTTTTATTTCTTTTAAAACTTTCTATTAACAACATATAAACACAGAACACTATGGCTGCTGCTCCTGGGCTGCCAGCTGGCTCTACCGAGGGCCACCAGTTTTTTTTTTTTTTTGTGACCTGTCTGTCAATCCAGTAGGCATGTCAGCAAATGACAAATCGGTGACCTCAATTTGTCCCAAAAGTAAATGCCCCTTGCCTGCGGAGCTGGGCTGCAGCCCATCAGGGTGTACGCTCAAGTATGAAGTCTCAACTATCTTCTGACAGTGCTCACAGTATCTGCACGGTTCACTGAGTACACACAGTATGCCCGAGTATGTGGGATCATTTGAAACCCTTCCCACATTCTTGCAATGTTCTAAACGCTTAAACCTACTAATTTTAACAACATATTTTTATGTGGCTACTAAATTTTACTTACCAGCACGTCCTGGCTCGGAGGTTCTCGTGGGCCGGTTGAAGGAGATGAAAAAAGTCCTGGTGGGCTCCAGATGGAGCACTGGATATTTGGTGATGCACGTCCTCCCTTGGAAGTCCTCGTGGGCCGGCTACCAGCTCTCAAGATTCACCGATGGGTCTGGAGGTCTGGTTTTGGTCTGGTTTTGTGGGTTCCATGCGGCTCTCTGCATCCGCTGGACTCCAAAGTCACTGCAATAAGCGCTGAACTTTTTCGGATCAGATCAAAACTTTCCCTCTAGTATTTCAGCAGAAAGCAATAGGGCCTCTGGGTGAGGCACTCTTGGCTTCTGGGAAATGTAGTCATTAGGAGTGGGGATACAGTGTAGGCTTATTGAGAGAAAACTACAAAATGGCAGTGCCTGTTCAAAGTATTTTATTTTTGTTAACTTTTTACTGCACAGCATCCCGCACTGTCCCAATCACAAGTAATATTAAAGTTAACAGTCATGTGCCCTGTAAAAATAATTCTCATGTTCAATCCTACTTTGAAAAACCGCGAAAGAGCGAGTCCGCAAAAGTTGAACTGCGAAGAAGCGAGGGACTACTGTATTTCAAAGAGGCATAAGTGACCAAAGTGATTAAAAGAAATGCAAAATAATAAATATTAGACAGTGAGAAACCATAATGCAACAATGAAGCCAAAACAACTTCAAAGCAATGCAAAATGTAAACATCACAGTATTTACCTACACAATAATTATTAAAAAATAAAGATGAAACCAGCGGGAAATGATGCAAAACAAAACGACAACAACAAAAGACAATTAACAATTGAGTCTTTTCTAGTAAAAGATGGGTTGGCCTTTATGTTTTGGTTCCTACAGTTGCATTATTCATTCATGTTTACTCTCTTGCGATAACTTCTGCTGATATGAACAGATATTTTATGATCAGTCTAGTTTAAGGGACGCTGCGTGGAGATTAATATGACTTATGATATCATGCTCCTTGATGCCTTCACTCCTTTTTATTACCTGTAAAAGTCTGATGAGTGATGGTATCATTGGCAGATTGAGCTGCCACTCAGCCTGAATGTGGAAAATAACGCTGAAGCTGGATTTAGTTGTTTTTCACACTTCACTTGCTGCCGTGGTTCAATCTTACTGCTCCGTGTCTAAGAGCGATATGTTATGAACAGCAGAACTGCTGATGAATATATGACCTTTATTACTATTTTTCAGCCAGGAAAAAATACTCTGTTCACACACTTACACACAAAACTGTATGTTACAAGCTTTTTAAAATGACTGTGTCATGACCAGAGCAAGGAGAAGACAGCCTTTACTGCAGTGACAGCTGTGTCATCCCAAGGCTGCCAAATTAATCACAGCTACAGTCTGTCAGCGGTGGGCAAGGAGAACTGATCACCCACATCTTTTTTTAATGTAAACTTGTAATGCATCCTTTGCCAATGTGTACTGACCTTCACTGTGGCTAATATTACTTGATAGAGTATTAAAAAAAACAGACTTGCTTCACTGAACTCAAGAAATGCTGAAGTTGTTGCAAGCTAGCCCAGCTGTAATCCTCTCATGGCTTTTTGTTGTGACCTTTCAGGCATGAATCTTGAAGACAATTTGGAAAATGAGCATAGTCCTTCCAAATTCACTTGCTTTGGATGTTATCATCCATTAAATGGCCGCTATTAGTTGTTATCATCCCCATACGTAGTTGTCAGACTGCCCCTCCTCTACCTCCTAGTAGGTTTAAAGGTACGTTATTATCACTGATAATATTTTCACATGGTTAGGTTAAGACTCAAGGGTAAGGCGGTTAAATTTAGGGTCAGTGGTCTGGGTCAGGTGCAAGGCTAGGTTTAGGAAAAGGGTTACATAAAGCTAACTAAAATACACTTCCGGTTTTACACGTGAGCCGCGATGCATATTATCACCCATAAAAACATAACTTTAAACTTACTAGGAGGTAGGAGGGAACAGTCTGAACGCTACGTATGGGATGATAACAACTAATAACGTCCATTTAATGGACTGATATAATCCACAGCCACTTCCAAATTTAAATGTTAAAGTTGAATTCATGGCAAAAAAAAAAAAAAAAAATCTGCACAATTGTTGAAAAGACTCCATACAAGGCAACATTTGTTTTTGCCGAGTTGTAAAATGAACGAATGGTTGTGATGCGGATTCTAGAGTTCATGAAGTCTTTTCAATGTTTGAAATGCTTTGAAAACCCATATAAGACAATTATCCATATGCTAAAGGGTGTTTTTTGTGTGTATGATCATCTTGGTCAAACGAGCCAGAGAAACTCTCGGTGATCATAATCTTTACATTTAGAGGGAACAAATTGCCAAATTAAACCAAATGATCCTGTAGGAGAGAATTAAAAAAACAGGCAGATTTGATGGAAAACATCACTGCTGACATAAGATGGAGTCTGTGTGTGTGAGCTAACATGTTTTGGACTCTTCATCCACTTTAGCATATATTTATCTAGAGTGTCCACAGGGTTCAGAAACTAAGGACAACAATACAGCACAGGAAAAGAAAAACTAATCTTACTTAAATCCATCTAGCCCACATGACTCAATCGAATCTGACTCGGGGCACAAACCTTCTGTTCCTAAAGATAAGCTTGTTAATTAGACAGAGAAATATTGACAAGTGTAGAAGTTCCAACATTAATGCAGAATGGCTACATGCTTCGGTAAAATGTTGGTATTCTGAAAGTAGATAATAGTTTTATGGTTTGATAAAAAATAAACTTACCATATCATATACAACAAATATTACACGTTATGTCCCTCAGTTTTAAAAGCTAAGCCTCGTGGGTCATTTTGACACAAGGACGAGGGTTAACCTTCTTCACAATCTAAAAATTGTAAATAAACTGTTTTTAGGTGTCTACCAAAATTTAAACCACACAGCCATGTGTGTTATAAAGCATGTCTGCCCAAAGTCTTGCCATTACAGCTCCCTTGCTTTAATTCATGTGTTTTTCCATGGGCAAGATCAAATCACAGCACAAGCCATGCCTGAACACAAACTGTTCCTTTTGTTAATATAAATGTGCATGCACACAGCCAAAGAGAACTAAATAAAATAAAATATCTGCCCACGCAACGCCTAGCTGACTGCCCACATATCCACCTACACTCCTGGTTTTTTATTTTTTTTGTAAGGCTGTCACCAGATGCCCAGCTGAACTCATGATCTAACTGCTTTCTGCAAGATAAAGAAAAAAACAAAACACATTAGACACATTTCAACACACTACAGTATGACCTGAAACAAGAATTTATTTCCTGAGATTCATATTCTGTTAGGAACATTGTCCATGTTTGTACCTAATGAATAAGTGATGCACATGCAGTTTAGCAGCGTTGTACTGCAGGTCTAAGCCTTTTGCATGCTATCTGCCAAAAATGTCGCAAGCATGGATGACTCCCAATCTCTTTCTTTCAGCAAGCCCATTTTTTGTCTCCAGTAATTTCTTTCGTGTTGTGCTCCTGCTTTGTTTCCTCATCCCTCACTTGCATCTTCCTCTGTTTGTCTGGATCCCTTGGTAGGTTTGTCATTTTGTTTTGTCTCTTCCCCTCTAATCCCCTTTTCACAATCTCTCTCTCCTCTTTTTTTTTAAAATCTTTAATCCATCAGAAAAGCTGTGCATTCCTTTCCCTTTGCATCATTTTTTTGGGGGTCTTTCTTCCTTTTGTTTTCATTTCCACTGATCTTCCTTTTCTCCCGCAGATGGAGTGTGATAATTTCATTACCGTCCTTCAGAAAGTAAACGACACATTCATAGCATGTGGGACAAATGCTGGAAGCCCCAGATGCTGGATGCTGGTAAATATCTCCAGACAAATTATTCTGAGCATGCGCGCCTTTCTTTCAGCTGCTGCAAAGTGCTTTTTCCTAGAAATTTAGCAATCTCAACAACCATTGATGTACTTCCTCACTTGTGTCTTTAGCTGGTAGGATGCAAATTTGAAGGTATTCATTCCACAAAACACAAATTTACTAAGTAATGAATGTGATCCTTCACAGATAAATTGAAGCTTATCTAATGAGTGTGGGGTAATGTAAGTAATGAAACAGGCCTTGAACAAACTTTAATATCTCCCTCCTTCGTCCTGCAGGTAAATGACTCAGTGCTGACAGACGTCCAGGGTGCTGGGCAGATAGCGTCCCCCTCTGACATTTCACCACCGTACCCTTCACAGAAGTTCATCAATTTACCTGCAGGTAATGAAGACAAGAAGGAAACTACACACATCTTTGTAAAAGTCAGTGATCCCTTCCACACTGACTTGCATCCACAGGGAGATGGCATTTTAGAAAACCCCCTTAATATATATATATTTTGAAAATGGGTTCCAAAGTGAGAAAAACCCTTAAAAGGCACGTCAAAGTCCCACCCGTATGATGTACAACACTTATAATGACAGATTTCAAGCTTGTTTTTTGGTTTGCAAACACCAGTTGCTTTACTACAGCAGAACCTTTGTGGTTCCCAACACAGGTCCTTGAGGAACACCATCCTGCATGTTTTAGTTGATTTCTTGCTCCAACACACCAGATTCAGTGATACAATTACTTCTGCATGTTCTGCAAAAGCCTGTTAATCACTCCTTCATTTAAATCAGATGTGTCAAAGCAGGGAAACAACTAAAACATGCTGCATGGTGTTCCTCAAGGACCAGGGTTGGGAACCATTGGTCATACTGTATAATTTTAATGAGGTGGCAAAACCTATGGGGAATACAATAGCTTTAAACAGAGCTGAGCAAGTGCCTGTTCTTATTACACCAAACGATCTAAGGACAAAAGGGTTTTAATCACTTTCTTAAGATGTCAACAACACTAGAGCAAGCATTGCACAATATACATCAAAAATACATATAACAAGAGAAATGAGACAAGTTTTAAATGGCTGACACTCGTGTATAAATAATTTACCCCGAACCATTTGAAAATTAATAAGGAACGCTTTTCTCTTCATTTCTTGCTTGACACTCTGCCTGAAATCGTCCATCATGTCTTTGAACTGACAAAGTTTGCAGTCAATGGTAGTTTAATTTGACACAAAGTATAATTTCCACTTCATCTACAAAAACAATTGCTCTTATACTCAACCTTTTCTTTACTTTTCTTTTCGTTTATACACATTGAAGCATCTGTTCCCTGTCGTTTTTACTGTTTCCGTATTTTTATTTTATGTGTGGCATCGTTACAGCTCAATATACAGGTTTGACATGGTTAATACAGCATTTAGAGTTGTTTTCTATGTTTTCATGTGGATGAACTCTAGAAATGGTGCTGTGTTTACAAAGAAAAAGATTGTTTAGGAAAGAGACCTGAGATTTGTACAAAATCAGAATGATAGAAACTCAACAAACCATTGGTGTAGGATACAACTGGAGCAAAGTGGCTTCTGTGTATTTTCAAATGAAGCATTCAGTTTGATTGATTATAACTTTACTATAAAGCAGGTTGTCAGTTATGGACCATTTAGCAAACAAACAAGCAAACAAACAAAAATATTTTTAAAAAGGTTTGTCGAATTGTGAATGTTTATTTTTGTCATGTATTCCAGCCAGCCTTGTGCCCATTAAAGTTACGACTCTAACTTTTTATAAAGCATAAATGGAAATAAAAAAAATAAATGAAAAAAAATGTCTCAAAAAAGTGAGTGAAAAAATTTGTTAAGGAATTTTGAACTTTGATCATGCTGCTGTAGACCAGTTCACAAATGTTTCTCCAATGGGTCCTTGGATAAAAATCTATGTTATTTACAAGTAAAAAAATCAGACTTGTGTATCTAGATACAAATCAGTTATATATGTACATAAGTGCGGAAAATAATTTATGATTTTATAAACTAGCTTGGCACATTTCACAATGCTAACAAAAATCTTTGCTACATCTTCCAGTACACATTTTCAGGCAACATAAGATCATTGTTTAACAGGGTATCATTCTGCTTTAACCTGAACAAGGCAACAGAACAGTATTAGAAATTAGGTACTTATTTTTTTTATTTACAATATAAGAGTTTGTAAAACCACTTCCCAATGGTGAGACCAGCTATATTGTATGGTTTGGAGACAGTGGCATTGACAAAAAGACAGGAGAAAGAACTGGAAGTGGCAGAAATGAAGATGCTAAGGTTCTCCTTAGGAGGGACAGGATGGATACGATTAGGAATGAGATCATCAGAGGTACAGCACAGGTTGAACAACTGGGAGATAAAGTTAGGGAAGCCAGACTGAGATGGTTTGGACATGTCAAGAGGAGGGACAGTGGGTATATTGGTGTAAGGATGTTAGAAATGCAGCTGCCAGGAAAAAGACAAAGAGGAAGACCAAAGAGGAGATATATGGATGCAGTTAGAGAGGACATGAAGGTAGTTGGAGTGAGGACAGAGGATGCAGAGGACAGAGTGAGGTGGAGGAGGATGACTCACTGTGGCGACCCCTGAAGAGGGAAAAGCCGAAAGAAGAAGTAAAACCACTTCCCAACAGAGAGCTGGATAACATAATAAATATTTAAGGCAGTAATTAGTGTCAAAGCTCAGAATAGTTTGGAATGAATCAGAACCAGAATAAGCTTTATTATCATTACACTGAGATACAATGAGAATATGTACGTACAGTCATCCGAAAGATGGATGGAGTGCAATGAACCTACTTTCTTAACCAAAGTTGAAAACTTTTGATGAGTTTAACAGGAAACTTACAATCATTTCTGAACACTGTCACTTTGAAACTTGTCTTTTTTTGTAGAAGTCACCTTCAAATATTTGAAGGTATCTCATTTGTGTCAGGATGAGGTGACACTTCAATTCAAGGTGCCTAGAAGTGATCTGCCTTTAACAACCCCCCTCTTTTTTGTACCCAAAAAAGGAGGATATCCTGTTTTATCTGAAGTACCTTACATTATGTTAGTCAGATTTGACAGATTTACAATTTAAAATATGTATTTTTCTAGAGTTTATGCACTTTGACCTATAGCTGTCTAGTTTAAATTAAAATTATGGACCCTCTGACCAAATATGGTTCTTTTCCACACATTCTGATCAAGCTTGTGTTCATTATACGTGTAAGATCATCACACAAATGTTTGAATACACAAAATTAGAAAAACAATCTCATTTTGAAATGTAATTGAAGAGCGACTTGATTTAGTTTACAATATGAGAATGAATAAAGCCTCCCTCCCCCCAAAAATGGACTAAACACAGAATATCTTAAATTACCTATCTACTAGTGTCAGAGTGCTAAATTTTAAAAGGAAGGAAACACCTGAACGGTACTTTAATTTACAGATGGTAAAACATATTAATGTTTAACATAGTTATTCAATTCTTGTGTCTTCATAAATCATTAAAACAACCAAATAATTTATTTCAGACGTTTTTGAAAGATTATAATTGTTAAAAGATCTTTGGCCCAAAACAATTTGGACAGAACAAATTATTAATATAGTTGAACCGTCTATTGTTCTGGACTCTAAAGAGAAACTGTAGGATGGCTTTGAAAAGATAACTCAAACTCTTTGGAATTAACTGTGTATACTGTATAAATAAATAAATAAATAAATAAATAAATGAAAGAAACTGTAATGCATTAACAATATTTTATTAAACTGTTCAAAAACACAGTTTTTATATTGAAGTTTTTCCTTGACAAGATTAAGTGCTGTATTTTCATAATTTATTTTTTAAGTACAAAGTATAAGTGCATCGAATTTACAGGTCCTCCAGGAGAACTGAGATAAGGTGGACTGTCAAGGCCAACCGGGGAGAAGAATTCAGATAAACATTTGTTTTGGGGACAGGCAGAACTTTACTGATTTAAGTCTACCTTGAGTCTTTGCTGGTCCTCACGAATCCCAAACGTCCAAATTCAGTTCAATTCAGCTTATTTATATAGCGCCAACTCACAACACAGTTATCTCAGGGCACTTTACAGGAACATTCACATACATAGAAAAGCCAATTAGTAAAGTTCTCTATCTAAGAAATTCAGCAGACAAGTGGACACACCTCTGGCCCATGCCTGAGAGTATTTCCCAAGATCTGATCCACCTGCCAGTGAATCCTAGGGGCCACAAGTGGCCTGCGATTCTTACAAATCACATCCAATTTGCGGTTCAGTTCGCAAAACAATTGAGTCTGGGTGCTTGAGGCACAGAGCAAACCGTCACATAAGGCAGGCAGTCCAACCAGGGCCAGATTTGCTGCTGATGACGTCCTTGTTTGTTGATAAACCAGGAACCTTCTGATTCCAAAAAGCAGGAAACCTTCCAAACGCCCCAGGAATCCATGACATATCCAGCTGCATGCGTCATCAGGGCAAGTCGGCTCGCCTGAAGCTTATCTTCTCATCGAGACTGCATTGAGAGACCAGCTGACCAGATCCATAGAAAGAATTACGGTTTGGAAGATATGTAGAGAGAGGCTCTGAAGCAGTTTCACAGACAGGACAGAGAAAAAGCAAAGCAGAGGAGAGAGAGGAGAGGGAAAGAATCTGCCCTTGACAAGAGCAAGTGGTCACGGTCAAGTTCTCTTTAGAATAACTATTACAGAATTGTATCCTTTTTACTTAGAAAAGACACAATGATTTGCCCAGATTTTCTGATCTTCAAATCGAACAATATGGATTGCCTTTACACAGAAAAGGAAAACTTTATGCCAGGTGTAGCTTCACGTCTGACAAATAGGGCTGTTAACGCCTTGGTGCACACCACAGGAAACAAAACTCCCTACTGTGTAGTTATTAGACAGCATGTCACATTAACCAAATAAAAATGTTTCTAATTAAAGTGACCTTTAGCAGTCACTGTGCATGAAGAGAGACACAAAAATTGGCTGTTTCTTGCACCAGCTAATGCAGATGAGTTGTTTGAAGAGGCACTCAAATCAGTGAGGGATTGGTTTTCTCCGCGGGGTGCTCTTCCAGATGGGGAGTGATTGTGGATGCAATGAGCCGGGCCTTTGCTTAAGCTGAGCAGCATTCAAAAAGTGATCAGCCCTGATTAGGATGTTACTGCCATGATTTCAGATGCTTCCCCCTCTGCATTGCTATGGAGACAGAGCTCTGAGAATGTGGAGACAGATAGCTGCTCATTTATTCAGTGAGCTGCTCTGCCTTCATGTCTTCTTTGCTCCTGATCTCATTAATTTCCCTTATTTCTAATATTCCTTTTTATATTTGTCCTCCTGGGTCTCTTCTATTTTGTCCTTCTGTTCTATGTTGTGTTTAGTGTCCTCTGTCTTCAGTTGTTTCCCTTCTTGTTTCACTACAATCATTCCTCCCCCTTTCCCATCCTAGCACTGTTGAGCAATCTTCCTTTTTCTTTTTCACTATCTCTTTTCTTCTGTATCTTTTTCCACTGACTGTCTCAGATGGGAGTCTGTATTCTGCTATGTCATCGGTGGGAGGTCACGCTGGCTCGATCCGGCGCACATTTGGCCCGCAGAAACTCCTGAAGACGGAGAACGTTTGGCTGCTGAGTGAGTAGGAGGAGGGGAGTCACGCAGAAACCATACAGGTTAAAAAAATAAATGCATATGGAGATGGTGGGTGGTACACTCTGTAAATCATCTACTATCACTGCTAAGAGACAAGAAGAGCATGTAGGTGGACTCAGAGTTACAAGCAGAAACCTTTCCACTGAGTTTATGCTCTTGCTGACACTTACAGTGACCTTTTTATCACTTGTGTTCATTTATGTAGCGTTAGAAAAATATGTCATGTACCACTGAACACATTTTAATGAAATGCTTTGATAGTATTCACTAAATGTGCATCTACAACTGATTCACTTTGTGGAGTTAATCCCATTCAAGATGGCCACCACACCTAAGATGCCCATCCAAGCACAAAAATCCCCACACCTCAGCCAGATGTGCTAAAATTTAGTGTAGTAGTAGATGAGAGTAGTTCACAACACATACTTTTAATTTGAAAATATTGGCGTTTACCGTTAAAGTAGTCCCTCGTTGATTGCGGGGGTTAGGTTCCAAACCCCAGCAATAATTGAAAATCCGTGAAGAAGCGACATATTTATTTTAGTATTTATATATATTTTAAGTCTTTAGAAACCCTTCCCACACTCTTATCTTGCTCTAAACTCTTAAACCTATATCATTTTAACAACATACATACAGTACTGTATATGTAGCTACTCATTTTTACTTACTAGCTCTGCAGAATGGCAGCGGCTCTCGGTTCTGGTCCGACTTGCTTCGTTTCTGCAGACACACCCTGCAGCGACAAAAACCACAATCAATGTTGTTAACTCTTAACCTACTAATTTTAACAACATACTCGTATGTTTCTAATAAATTTTATTATCAGCGCACCCCCGCGAGCCAGCTAGGAGCTCTCGGGTTCACCACTAAGTCTGGGGGTCCAGTTCTGGTCTGGTTCAGTGCAGCCCTTGAATGCCAAAGAGTATTTTGGGGGTGAGGTGAGGGGGTGGGGTTTGCAGATCTTTGGTTAGTCAGCGTGGGACCGGAGGTGGTCGATTGAGTCCAAGTCTGAATGAAAAAAGTCCCGATGGGCTTGGGAAACAGCGCCGGACCTATGGCGGTGCATGTCCCCACTTGGAAGTCCTCGTGGGCCGGCTACCAGCACTCGAGATTCACCGATGGGTCTGGAGGTTTGGTTCTGCTCCGGTTCTGGTCAGGTTTGGTGGGTTCCATGAGGATCTCTGCATCCACTGGGTGCCGAAGTCACAGTAATAAACGCCAAACTTTTTCCGATCAGATCAAAATGTTCCCTCTAGTTTTTCAGCAGAAGGAAATGGGGCTTCTGGGTGGGGCCCTGTTGGCTTCTGGGAAATGTAGTCTTTAATAGCGAGAATACAAGCTTAGTGAGAAAAAAATACAAAATGGCAACGCCCGTTCAAATTATTTTATTTTTTCATTAACTTTTTACTATACAGGTACAGTACTGTATCCAGTACTTTCCCAATCACATGAGTAATATTAAAGCTGACAATCATGTGTCCTGTACAATTTTTATTTTTACTACTTTTTGTACAATATTATACATTCATAAATTACGATATAACGAATGCGTGATAGTTGAACTGCGAAGTAGCGAGGGACTACTGTACTATTCAAGTCAAGTGTGTCTGTATGTTAGCAAAATATCAAGAACCACTGGGGGTGGCTGTGGCTGAGTGGTTAGAGCAGTCGTCCTCCAATGCGAGAGTTGGGGGTTCGAATCTACCAGCAGTCACATGTCGAAGTGTCCCTGGGCAAGACACTGAACCCCTCATAGCCTCTGATGTGTGTCCCATCAGTGTATGAATGTGATAAATCACTGATTAGTTTCTTTAGAATGATTTGTTCAGTTAGCTTTGTAGAGATCTAGTAGAGTGCTGTATGAATGGGTAAATGAGGGCACAGATTGTTGTGTAAAGCGCTTTGAGTATCTTGAAATAAGATAGAAAGGCGCCATATAAGTACAGTCCGTTTACCATTTACCATTTTCTTGACTACCAAAGTAATCGTGGGATATAAAACTACCACTGACTCACACTTAGAGCTAAAATTTCAGATAATGAAGTAAAGTTTATTTGGTAATGGCTAAGCGTCATTCTCAGCTATATTATCAGCATCAGTACATTTTGCAAGATGTGGCTGTGGCGGCCATCTTGAATCAAAGTTCTATCGTGAAAGGTGGCAGCTGATGCGTATTCCTTCAAGAAACTTGATGCAATAATGTAATATTAAGGCAAATTCAAGCTTTTCACTCATTCTGCTTGAGATGTCTTGTAGGAGTAATGCATTCTCAGTGAGCTGATATAATTTTAGATAATATATTTCAATATTTTCTGCAGATCCACAGTTTGCTGGTGCAGCTGTAATCCCATCTTCACAAAAATTCAAGGAGGAAATCTACTTCTTCTTCACGGAGTTCAACAAGACAGCCAGAGTGGATGAAGAGCCATACAGGGCCAGGATTGGTCGTATCTGCACGGTAAAGAATCAGCTAAAGAGCCTTCAAAACCTTTCAAGTTGTGTTGTGCTGCATGCTCCTTTTAAAGTTTCCCTTTTATCAAGTGTTTGGAGTCCTGGGCATTAGTTGGGGTTAAGGAAGCCTAATCAGATGCTTTGTAGTGTAAACATCTCTTGTTGGCATTGTGGAATGTGCCAAAGGTGAAGGCATTAATTGTTTAAGCAATAAAACATTTAAACTATGGGAAAAATCTTCTGAGAGTTGGTGTTTTGATGGATAAACCTAAAAAAAAAAAAAAAAAAAAAAGAAGAAGAAGAAGAAGAAGAAGAAGAAGAAGAAGAAGAAGAAGAAATAAATCACATGGACCTCAGCAGCATTCTCTTTGAGAATGTGGTGTTTTAACAAGTAAAATGTTAAAACATGGTGTGGTGCTGTATATTATATGAAATCATTTTTATGTTCTGTATATTCATCCAAATTGAATCATGTGCTGTAAAGCTTTAGAGTGCTCCTCCTCTGCTTGGGAAACAAAGTTGTGAAGATGCTTCCTTTCTTGAAACTTTGCAATCAGCGAAGTTAACTCAGGTGTTTCCAGATTAGCTGTGAAAGGCAAAGCACCTGCTGCTCTGTGTGATTCACAACTCAGCCTCTAATTTATTCCCAAATCAAGGATGTCACATGGAATGAAAAGGTTAAAGAGGAGAATGTCACACGAGGTGATGACTATTCAGCTATTAGTAGAATAACCTTTTTTTTTTTAAAGATTTTTTTGTTTATCCTTTCTAGTCTTTTCTCTGACAGGTACATGAGAAGATGTCTTTTTACCCCATGCTGTTACCACTTTAAAAAAAGGGTTAAATCACAATTACTACTGCATAATCATTAAAGAAGTAAAACGTACACCTGGTTTGTTTTCAGCCATCAATTCATCGTCTTTACCTGAATTTTCCATTTTGGGATGGGAATAGGGAGGGACAGCACGGACAGGTCTTCAGTTTATGACAAGGACACTGAGAGACAAATGAGACAATTCAATTGATTTTTTTTTTTTTAATTCAACCTTTATTTATACAAGTTGGTCTCATTGAGCCTCAAGGACTCATTTACATGAGAGACCTGTTTATCTACCGGTACATTAAGAAGCGATGTAAAATACTAAAAAACAAACAACCATTCACTCTCTCACTCAAACCTAGGGACAATTTAGAGTTACCAATCAGCCTAACATGCATGTTTTTGGTCTGTGGGAGGAAACCGGAGTACCTGGAGAAAACCCACGCATGCACGAAGAGAACATGCAAACTCCACCCAGAAAGCCCAGGAAATCGCTCATGCGGCCTTCAAGTTGTGAGGCAACAGCTCTATCAACTGAGCCACGATGTCCTGTAAATCTTCAAATATCAAATATAATACATCACTTTATGCTATTTATCTTTAAAAATGAAAATATATATAATATTATTATTTAAATTTATATCACACACGGCAAATCTGAAATTAGCATTAAGTCCATACTTCTTCACAACTTTTTTATTTTCTCAAATGTAAAAAGTATTTTAAATACGTGACTTTCAACAAAAACTAATTATATATATATCTATATATATATCTATATATATAGATATATATATAGATATATAGATATAGATATATATATATATATATAGTTCAAAATTAGTCTTCCTCCTCAGGCTTTGTGTTTACAAAAAGCTTGGACCAATTTTTATATCAAAAGCTTTGAAAAGAAGATGCCTTTTTTCCCCACAAGTTGTGATTTTTCTGCACAGCATGGGTCTGAAGACTGAACTTTGCAACAAAACACAATGCAGGAGTCTCAAGGAGCTTGGCAACCTTGCTGCCCTTGTATGACTTTGTGGTAACAGCCCTTCTGTGTTTCTTTTTCCAGGTGGATGAAGGGGGCATCAAAGCCCTGCTGGCAGACTCCTGGACCACCTTCATGAAGGCGAGAGTGATGTGTGGTGCAGGAAACACTCAACAGCAGTACAACAACATGAGGCAGGCCGTGGTGCTGACAGCCCAGGACAAGAGGGCAGGGGTCATGTATGGCCTTTTCTCCAATGCATGGTGAGATTTTAATGCAAGCTTTTAAAATGCACCCCTCAGCTTGGATGGATAAATTCAGCAAGTTTGGGACCATTGAGATTCAAAGTGTGTGCAACCACACAAGTCAGCTTTGAAAAAAATTGTCAAGACTAAACACTGACGTTCAGAAACTTTTGTATTTTCCAAGATATGGAATTATTGAAAGGTTATAATCAGTCAAGTTTAATATATTTTTCTTAGAAATATAAAAAATGCTCTTGTCCACCTGCAGAATTCATTAGAATTTTTAAAACAAAATATATTATCATTGCGATTTTCATTAAATTTTGACTTGGATCCAGCAATGATCAAGTTTTTTTTTTGTTGAGTAAATAACTATTTTCCAGTTATATCAGCTGGAATTGACACAGTGACGTGATGTTAGCATGGTTGTCTCGTAAAAATAAGGTCTATGGTTCAAATCTTGGCCACACTGCCTTTCTATGTGTAGCTTAAATGCTCCCTCTGTGCCTGAGGGGATTTGAGTTTCTGGAGTTGTTTGTATCTTGTTTCAGTGTTTGGCCTGTGATAGACTAGTGACCTTAACAGGATGCACTCCACCTTTTTACCTTTGGACATATTCAATAAATCTTCAGGCCACCGCAACACAAAAAAATCCAGAGCATAAATAAATAAATAAACAAAATAAAGAATAGATTAGATACTATCTACACTAACAGGCCCTTTTATTAGATTTGCCTGTTCAATTGCTTCTTAAAACAAATAGTTACTTAACCAATCAGCTGACAGTAACTCAATACATTAAGGCATCTAGACACGGTGAAGCCAATTTGCTGAAGGTCAAACCAAACATGAGATTGAGTGAACAGAGAGAATTAAATGACCTTGAACACAACACGCTGGTCGGTGCCAGACAAACTGCTCTGACTATTTCAGAAATCGCTGATTTACTGGGATATTTGTGCACAACCCTCTTTTGAGCTTACAAAGAATGCTCCAAAATAGAGAAGGAAAAAAAAATGTTTTGGACGAAAAGGCCATTAAACGGTTGTTGTATGGATGAAAAGGCCTCATCGATATCAAAGGTCAGTGGAGAATGAGCAGATTGTTTAAGATGATAGAACGGTAACAGCAGCTCAAATGTTACAACTACAGGTTTTTGTAGAACTATCTCTGAATGCACCACATGTCCAACATTGCAGCAGAAGTCGGCACAGGGTGCCATTCTTGTTAACTGATAACAAGAAACTAAGGCTACAGTTCCCACAGGCTCACCTAAGTTAGTCAGTAAGAAAGTGGGAAAACAGCCTGCTCTGATGCATCTGGACTGAAAGGACTACAACGGCCTCCACAGCCACAGCTCAATTCCATCAAGCACTTTTAGTGTGCACATGAGGTCATAAAGGATGTGCCTCTGTGAGACTAAGTCAATATGAACAAAAACCTCTAAGGATTCTTTCCAATAGTTCAATGAATCTATGCTGTGACTAATTTAGGATGTTATGGAGGCAAACAGCGGTCAAACCTGTAAGGTGTGCCTAAAGGAGGTGAGGTGGAAAAACAAAAACTGGTTAAAAATCTTCTGAATGAAGAAAATTTCCGACCTCTAATAAATCTACATGCAATTTCCACAGTTGGTCATGGTCTGCATTAATTTACGTTTTCTACATCCCAAAATGTAAAGGTATGGTGGGTCTCTTCAACTGCCTTTCACGCTAACATAGACAAAGTAAACAATTTAAACAAACAAACTAAGTTAAGTTTTAAATGTTTAGTTTGGGGTTTTTCCACGTTATTGCATCACCCTTTCAAATGGCAATCTTAACAATATAAACTGAAAGGGGGGAAAAGACTAATTATAAACAATCATTTCTTTGAACGTTCACCTGAGTTTTTGCTATACAAGTAATTAAAGCCTTAGCTTTAAACACACACGTCCCCAGATTTTACATCATTAATGTCCCAGAGCTGAGAATTTATTCCTGCTGTTTCTTTTGTCCTTGCCTTGTTTACTTCAAGGGTGTTTTGTTTCCTCATCAATATTTCAGGGGCAGAACCGTGATCTGTGCCTATTCCATTGAAGATATTGACCAAGCCTTCTCCACCTCTAAACTGAGAGGCTACAGCAGTCCGTTCATTGGCAGTCGCCCTGGCATGGTAAGAAAATCTTCAGTTTTTTTTTTTTTTTCTCATTGTGATGCTGAGAATAAAAGATGTGCAAACGTATGAGTCAGCCTGCAATTTAGAAACAAAAAGCCTGAAGTGCTATTTTTGAAAAGGGGTGAGTTAATAAAAACAAGCAATTTGGAAGCTCTTCGTCCAAGCATGTCTAAGTCATTCAAGAGTCGGTCCTGATGGAAGTCAATTACGCCACTTCTCTCCTCAGTGTGCCCGCAAGAACCCCTCAACAGCTGAAAGCCAAAACAACATCAAAAACCTCGGGGTGATCAGATACCACCCAGAAATAGAGGATGTGATTCGTCCTGTTGGCGTGGCTCCACTCGACCTCCCCACAGACGACCAAATCACACACGCGGTGGCAGATATTGTCCTGGCAGTCAACGATGAGCACTACAGTGTCCTGTACCTCGGAACAGGTGTGTGTTTACGTGGATTCTAAAGTATTTGAAATGTCATTAATATGTGCTTAATGCAAATATTTTCTCTGTGCTTAAGACATTTTTCACTGTTCTATAAAATCTGTAGTATTTAAAGAATCGAACATTTAGGAACATACTTTCATCATTCATATAAACCTATTGGGTGGCTTCGGCTACTTGACATACAGTCAATTTTAATTTATGTCAAGGTAACAGAAGTGGAAGCCACAAAGGTTAAACTCCTCCTTTTGGCTTGCTGCAGTACAATAATTAAGTCCTGATCATGTTAACCAGGGGTGCCCAAATACGTCCGTCGCGATCTACCGGTTGATCGTGATCTACTGGTTAATCACAAAGGTATTATGGGCAGACCGCATGACATAAAAAAAAAAAAATAGACGTCAGCCTTTCATCCATCCTCACTATGAAATTTGTCACTTTATTGACGTGAACGTTCGGCCGTTCATTTACACGACAACAGCCCTCGTTCTCTCTGAAACCGAAGGTTTCTGAATCCAGGTCTCAGAGTGGAGATTTTCAGGGGACCCCCCCCCATGGTGGTGTGAAATGCTACACAAGTGTGAAGTCGAACATGTGCACAGTCCAAAGTTTTTCTGCACTAACAACAGTTATAACAAATGGCAGAGTGCAGTTTTTTTTGTGCTGCTCACTTTTTTTCAGCATGTAAGAGCAAAACTAATAAAATCCAAAGAGACATTTGTGTGTTCATCAGTTTAGACATAACTGTGGTCATGCATGTGCAATGAATGCAGCTGAGCCTGGCATAAGGGTTGCCAGATAAATTTAACGTGTCTTATTTACCCCCTTCTTTTCTGTGCACGTTTAACAAACACAACACACACCTCATCTGAGAATATCTTTACTCAGCACATATGACAGTTTAGGTCAAAATAATTTCATTTTCAAGTGACAGTACTATAGTTCATAATTTCTTATCTGGCAACCCATCTGACATGGAAACTACAGCGTTTCCGTGTAAATCTGCTCATTTTTTTGTTTATTATCCCCAATAAACATTGAAAAAACATATTTTTCCAGAGGTTGTTCTCATGTAAATAAGGCCTTATAGCAGGTAGATCACTTTGACTTGGTAATTTTTAAAGTAGCTCACATGTTGAAAAAGTGTGGGCACCCCTGATGTAAACAAATGTGAAATTTGCTTGACTAAAAAAGAGAAATGCATTTTAGATTATTTTTGCGAGGTGTTAAATTTTGTTGACTCGTGTAGCTCTTATGTTCCAGCTGCATGATCAAAATGCCCATTAATTAAAAACACATTTAATTTTAATTAGTTATTTTGGATTAAGTGTCACATTACTCTGCCTGTCAGTGTGACAGCCTGTAGGTGAGTTGGAAGAATATGAAGGTAAAACTTTTGTATTTATGATCCAGCCCCACATCCAATTAAAGCACTACTCCCAAAAATTGATGTTTTGACTTTAGTTATCTATTGACTTTAGTCACAAAATAAGTTAAAATTATTTAATTGTATTATTTTGTAGTTGTGTAGTAATAACAAAAAGTCAATTTATGACACTTTGCTAACATGTTTTTTATCAACAATGAACATCTGGAAAATATTTTGTTGGTTTTCTGTTAGACTGAAGTTTTGACAATAACAGATTTCATAAGCTTTGGCAAAATTTTATCCTCAGCTGGAAACGCTGCGTCATAATAACATGTTTCAATGTGGTTGCTACGACCAAACAAAATAGTGCATGAGCTCACGAACGATTTCAAAACCCTGTAGAGATATACACAATGTTTGGTTTCATTTTGTCCAAAAATCTATTTTGTGCCAGGAAGCAGGTCCAGGTTTTCAAAGAGGCTCAATGAGAACATCTTACTGACACGTTACATTATCTGCACCTGCTTTTCTTGTAACTTGAGGAAAATCCATTTTCTGTATCTGACCAACATTATTTGCACAAGATAATTGAGCCACTGTGCATTAAAGTTCCATCAGCTGCAACTGTGCAAGAAATAAACAACTTAACATATTACAGGCAATGTGAAGCCAAATCTGCAGCTCGTGCACTGCATAGCGAGTGAAAAAGTAAACCTTTAAAAGATGCTGCAAGGTCAGTATTTCTTCAGCTCACTTGCTATCTAAAAATTCTAGGCCTTCGCAGCATTGCTTTTATTTGATCAAAGCAGTAAGTCTGAGCCGCAGCTGTCGCTCAGAGCGGTTAGTCTAAATATTGCGATGAGCCTCAGGGACATCACTATGGCAACCATCACAAGTCGTATGCTCACGCACCGTATGTTGGAGTGTCTTGCCACCCCGAAGTTCACTGATGAGTGTCATCTTTCTCGTTGCTGGAGTGTCTCTGTGCTTTTCACTTATCAAGGCGCACGAGGCTGGGTCTATTTCCAGTGGACAGAAAATAAGAATAAAAAAGACAGGTTCATGGCCTCTCTCTGTGGGTTTTCTAGCTGTGTCATTAATAAGACAAAAGGGGAACGCTAGCAGCCATGGATCTTTGTGCCGGCCTAAAAAAAGTAGAGTTTGACTCACATTGATGTCTAAAGGAGGAAAAGGTTGAGCTGGGAATCAACAGTTAAAACATGCTTCCTGTTTGCAGATTAATTTTTAGTCCTTCGTTTATAGCGGGGGATCCGTACCCTGAAGTTCCGCGATAAATAAAAAAACGTGC